CGAGAGTTCTGCTGGTAATTTTTCACGAACCTCTCGGTATCGAGGAGTGTCATCGAGACCCATTCACGTTCCGCCTTCTCCTCCCAAACGCGCCTCCTCCCCCCTCATCCTCCAGCAATGATCAAACGCGTCTCTGTCGACGATCGATTCGTTTGAAAATGCAGCGTGTTCCGGTCCCAGCCGATTAAACGTGGAACGTGGGGATGTGGCCGGCGTGTGTTACGCGGGGCCGAACCAGGATCGTCTGGTACATTGGACCGGCTTGCGTGTAATATGCACGCACCTCTGAATATCCCCCTGTTTATCCCCCGCGATTTTCCACCGAGACGTCCGCGTTACGGTTATTCGAATACAGGGGAGGAGGGGGAAGGGGGTTATACGTGTTCGCCTGTTACGTATTATTCATGGAACAGGCGGTCGAAATTTAAAATTCTCGACGCGAGTGGGGAATAGGGGGGTGGCTCGCGTGCTCGGCCGCGCGTAATTTTAATAACGTCGTTTCGCGTTTCGGCCAAGAGTGGAGACAGTGGTTGGACAGTTTGGGCCAGTGAAGAGCGGAAGGATGAACGAAGGATGAACTGCGTCGAAAATGAGAGGAGAAGATTTTTTATAAACGATTTTTTGGAAAACGAGAGAAACGGAATGGGATGGAATGGGGGGAGGGATTTAGTATTATCGATCGAGTCGAATTGTATTTTTGAATATTTTTGAACAACGATTGAAAGATCACTGTAGTGTCAGGATACTTATCGAAGAGAAATTACAAAATGATGTTTAATAAGATTAAATAAATTAGCGTTGAAGAAATGTAACTGATAGGTGCATTCTATGTTTCAATTCTCTTACGAAGAGTTCTAAAATTAGAACGATTTACGATCTCGTTGTAAAGATTTTGGGAAATTTTTCGATGGCTCCTCGAGTTCGTAAGTTTGACATGCTCTTTGATCTCTCGTTGTGCACGAAAAAGTGCTTCTCGAAGATCTTAAGACAGGGAGGAGGAGGGCGACACCGATAATAATGGATACGGAAATTGGAAGATTGTGCTTATATCGAAATCGCTGATTAATCTTGCACGGTCTAAGCAAAATACAGGCAAGTCTCTCTTACCAACTTTCCACCTTATCGTCCCGTCTATCTGCCGTTTTTCTCGTATATCCCGACCCGTTGGAAGAAGGTCAAGTGTGTTGAGTCAGGGGGTAATGGGGGGGAAAAACAGGCGCGTACATAATTTTCCAAGTAACCCGATGATTAAATATTCGAAAAATCTGGCCTGATCTTATCCATGCATCGAATTCGTAGATTTAATTCGTATTTTAAATCTATTGATAAAAGAAAGTTTAATTGACCAATCCGTTGACGGAATAACCAAGTTGAAAATTTCGAGTAAAATTACTTCAACCGATTAAAATATTTATTCGTAGCTCTATTCGTATAATCTCGATCGTTCGACACTACATTTCGAAATAATTTATCGAAATAAAAGTCCATTAGTTTATTCTTCAACTTCGTTAAAATTTGGCCTATCTCTTCCTTAACTCAAATATAACCTGAACCTATGATAATTAGATCTAACGTAGTCTGATATAAACTTAGTTCAAACAATCGGCATAGTTATCGCTCGTATCTAGATAGAAAATTGAATTTGTATTTCGATTAAATCTCTCTCAAACTTATATATAAAATTCAATCGATATTCACGATAAACTATAGCCGAAATACAAAAAGCAAGATCTGTTATAATTATACTTTATAATATAACGTTTAATGCAAACTCCAGACTCAGCGTATTCATTTCCCAATTCTAAATAAGAGATTTAACTCATAGTTGGAGTAAAAGCTAGGACTCGAACCCATCTCGAACCTAAATAAAATCCGATCGGGGTCGAAATTAAACTTGACTGGAAATCTAAGCTAAAACGTAAATCCTCGGATGGTTGCCGCGTTCGCGAGTTTTCCTCTCGTCTTTACCAGAAGAGATATCACGAGAATCACGCTTCTCCCCTCGATCGATAAGTTAGTTAGAGCGAAATAAATTCCGACATGAATTGAAGTTGAACGTGCGGAGTTGGAGAGGGGGGAGAGGTATTGCTCATAGCGTTACGTCGAATAGTTTTCGCATTTTCCGTGGATGCAGAAGCAAAAACGGGACGATAACGAAAAACTCGGAACGTCCAAGAAAGAAATTCGAGTGTACCACGTTGCCCCGAGTAATTGTTCCTTAAGATTAGGAATTAAGTGTATCTGCGCCGCGAGACGTTCTTCCGCGTGGAGCGAGATGTTACCGATCGAGTAAAACGTTCGAAATCCAAATCTTTCGCGATGACGATGAAAAATCCTTGGACCGGCAACTACGCTGATCCCAAATTTTCAAACGAGAGGGAGAGGATCCGGATACTTTTTTTTTTTTCTTCCCTCTCTGTACAAACTCCTTTTTTTTTCCCCGCTTGAAATCGGGGATTGGCATACCGTGGCCCGTTCAATTAATATCAGACGATTAATAATATTCACGGTTGTGAACGGTTGGATTACGTTGGAGGAGGGATTTCCGTGATCTGGTTGTAAGCGGATCCTCCCGCCCCCCCCTCCCTTCCCCGAGTGAGCGGAGAAACTGATAATTGGCTCTAATTTTTAATTAGGCCGTTTATTGGGTTAATTACGGAGATCCTCGGTTCCCAAAGCGACTTTTCTCCAATCTCTCCCCCATTTTTTTTCCGCTCCGCCCTCGACCATAAGAGATTATCGAAATAAAGTCGTCGAACGATCGAATCTCGACCGAGTCTTTATGCCGAATCTTATCTCGCCGCGGAAACCAGTCAATTTTTTTTTTTTTTTTTTTTTTT